TTTGTTCCAGGAATATATGGTTAATGGATTGACCGCCTTTCAGCGGACACCCTGTATTATTATTGCGTGATTGTCTCTGTCAACGTTCAGTGTTGCTTGATTCATCACTAGCAAAGACAATATATTTCTGCTGTACTCTGGTGGATGAAAATGATGTGGAACTGGCATGAATTTCATATTAGAATGAGAGCAAACACTAATAATAGTCTTGAATAATAAAATGGTAAAAATATTCTCAGAAATAAGCAATTTTGTTCGAATAAGTCTACAAATATTATATTCCACAACATTCATTCAGGAAATACAAAAGTATTTGGCACCTCAAAATATCTTCTGGATTTTACATTCATCAATAATGTTATACAGGGTGTATCTAAATAACACCGAAAAAATTCAAGGGATGTTTCCCTGTGGCTTCCTAGCAAATGAGGTTCATATAAACATGTGTCCCAACAAAATTCAGTATGGATAGAGACTGAGAAAGCCCAAAATTTGAACTTGAATTTGTATTGGTTTCTCAAAAACTAAGCTAAAACAGAGAATGAAAATGTTATTTCAATAGTTCAATCTGATAAAAATATGAAACTCAGAAAAACCGTTGGTGCACAAAGACATTCACAATGAATATCAATAAATTTATCCACTGTGACGCCACTGGAAACATCAATTCGAATCTAATTTCATTAGAAGAAGTTTCATAATACTATAAACCAAACCACAACGCTTTAATAGAATTGATGAGAAAAAACAATTGAGAAATATATTGAAAGAAGATTTTTCATGAAAATATTGATACCCTGTATATCTCGAAAACGAAGCAAGTCTGGACACATGTTTATGTGAACTATATCTCCTAAAATATCACGAATATGCATTTTTTTGGTGTTATTTAGATACACCTTGTAGAGACGTGAAATTTCTCAAACGCAATAACCAGAAAGTGAGTATATTGCAGAATACAGTAAGATGGCAGTGTATGTGAACAAATCAATCATCTTATATCTTGAACTTCTCTGTTGGACACACTTCCATCTAACCGTAGAAGACTATAAAATCTGGAGAAATGGTCATCTTGCGAGATACCGAGTACCACTGATGAGCGCTAGTAGAGCGCAATAGCAGTTTGGTAATTGGTATGTCCGACAAAAATCCCTTCACATTTATGTACATTATGTGAAATCCAGAATGGAATTTGATGAATGTTGTAGAAGAAATTCAACTTGGTGAGGCAGATAGTGCAGAAAAGTCTTATTTTACTTGTGCAGGCATCCAAAAGTCAGAACTGAGTGAAAAATACAGTGTGGTTTTAGTAAGGAATGAACCGACCAGTGTTTGTCAAAACGGAGAAAACATTTGAAAATTATGATATTTTCGATACCTACTTTGTTTATAGACTCTTCAGCCACTCTTGGTCATATTCAACGGATTTCTCTATTTGGATGGAAATGAAAATAGTAGTATAATGTATAGTGATCAGGAAATAATAAGTCACAAAAAAATATAGCGAGTAGAGCAACATGCCAATAAATTGCGAGTTACAGTTAATTGATTGGAAATATCGCTATATTTTTTTAAGTACACACAAGGTGTTTCTAATTCAATGTTCAGTTTCAACGACAGTAAAAACACTATTTTTACCAAGAAATATATCCAATAAAAAATGTTCGAGTGCTTTTGGGCGAGATGAATCAACGACAATATAATTTGATTGTTGACTGAAGATATAGGATATAATTCCTTAGGTCGTTTCAAAAAGAAATATTCATATGACTATATGCACTTAACCAAAATAAATGTTGTTATAAGTTTGTTGCCGATTGAAATTCCCCAATGAAATCCTGTGCTTAATCTAATTAAAGGATGCTGAATCCAATGGTAGGGTCCATTTTTTTGAGTAAAATCGCGAATGATATTCCACAATTCAAAACTTGAAAAAATTAACATAATATGCCATGAGAATGGAAATTATATTTTGCAAATTTGTATCATCTGAAAACCTTTCTGCTGACACAAAACAAATGAATCGGTTGATCTGTATATTTGAAGAGACCAAATTTGTTCCAATACAAAACTTCAGAGAATATTCTATTTTTCTGTGGCTTTGAATCGAATGTGACTATTCGGTTGCATTCTTAATTCAATATTAAGAATGCAACCGAACCACTTTTCAATAAGTAATGTTCACATAGATTCACGTGCTTACTGTAATCATGTTTTTTTTATTACGATAGAATTCCAATTTTATCAGTGCTTTCAAACATTATTTGAAAAATGACTAATATTTTATATAGTTTCCAGTATATGCGGTATAACCTTGAATTCAACCATTGATCACGCCGATCATTCCCTACCACCACAAAACCCTGATCGATCAAGAACCGGATCTATCTTCATCAACTCCATCGAAGACATCGAAGATGAACAATAAGGACTATGATATCACCTGACCACCCTCACCCTCGACGGTCTACAACTCGCACAACTCTTCAATTGTCTGCGCCAGATGGACGATGCACCAGATTCTCAACGTACTCATTTCAGTCATGTTATATTCTTCTATGTATCTCAATATTGTTATAATTTATGCAGTATCTTCATAAAATATTTGAGAAAATGCTCATTATTTTATAATTCCCAGTATAACAAGGTATAACCTAACCTCAAAATCAACCACTGATCGATTCATTCCCTAACACGAGACAAACTATGATATCACCTGACTACCCTCCCACTCGAAGTTCTGCAACTCGCACCACTCTTCAATTGTCTGCGCTAGATCGACAATTCGCCGATGGACCATTTCAGTTTTGTTATATTTTTATATGCACCATGATGGGTAACTTATCTCTGATAAAAGTGTTCCAATTTTTGCTGTATTTTCAGAAAGTATTTGAGAGAAGGCTTGATATTTCATAGTTTCCAGTAAGGTATAACCGTACCTCAAATTCAACCACTAATCGGTTTATTTCCTACCACTACCACGAATGCCTGATCAAATCAAAGAAGTACTCTTCAATTATCTTCGCCAGATCGACGATGCATCAGATTCTTAACATACTCATTTCAGTCATATAAGATCATAATATTGTTAAAAATTCTGCAGTTTTCCCAATAGTAATTTGAGATAATGCTTAATTCTTCAAAGTTTTCAGTATTATGAGGTATTACATGATCTCAAATACAACCACTGATCGATTCTTTCGCTACCACCATGAATCCCCGATCGAAGAAAGGACCAGACTCAGTTCTATCATCATGAACTTCATCGAACAGAAACAAGAAAAACGGTATCACCTGACCACTCTCGCCCTCAACGTTCTATAACTCTCACCACTCTTCAATTGTCTGCACCAGAGGGATAATGCAACATATTTTCATGTACCTATTTCAGTAATGTTTCATTCTTATATGAATCATAACATTGTCCCAATCATTGCAGTATTATCAGAAATAATTTGAGAAGATGTTGAATATTTCATAGTTTCTAGTATAACAAGGTCAAATTCAACAACTGATCAGTTTTTTACAACCACCACAATCCACGATGGAAGGACCGGACTAAGTTCTATCTCTATCAACTTCATCGGAGAAAAACAAGAAAAACTATGAAATCACCTGAGCACCCTCTTCCTCAACACTCTGCAACTTGCATCACTCCTCGTCCTTGATCGTCTGCGCCAAATCGACAGTGTACAAGACTCTTAACGTACTTGTGCACAAGACTCTCTAGGTGCTTATCTTAGTCATGTTATATTCTTCTATCTATCATGATATTGTTCCAATTTTTGTAATGTTTCAAGGAAATATTCTAGAAAATGCTAGTTCTCAGTGAAATAGGTATAACCTGACTACAATCAACCACTGATCGGATAAATCCCTACCACCACGAATCCCCGATCGAAGCAAGGACCGGACTAAGTTCTATCTTCATAAATTTAATCGAAGAAAAACAAGAAAAACTATGATATCACCTGACCACCCTCTTCCTCGACGTTCTGCAACTCGCGTCACTCTTTGTCCTTGATCGTTTGAATCGTTTGCGCCAAATATACAGTGTACAAGACTCTCAACGTACTTGTGCACAAGACTTTCACCGTACCGATCTTAGGCATGTTTCATTCATCTATGTATCATGATATCGTTCCAATTTTGGTAATATTTCCAGGAATCATTCTTGAAAAAGCTAGTTTCCAGTATAACTAGGTATAACCTAACTTTAGAATCAACTGATCGGTTCAATCTCTACCACCACGAATCCCCGATCGAAGCAAGGACCGGACTAAGATCATCTTCATGAACTTTATAGAACGAAAACAAGAGAAACTATGATATCACCTGTCGCGCCACTCCACGTTCCTGATCGTTTGCGCCAAATCGACAGTGTACAAGACTCTTGAAGTACTTGTGCAAAATAAGACTTCTAACGTACTTATCTCAGTCATGTTCCATTCTTATATGTATCATGAAATTATTCCAAGTTTTGTAATATTTACAAGAACTATTTTTAAAAATGCTAGTTCCCAGTAAAACAAGGTATAACCTAACTTTAGAATCAACCACTGATCGGTTCGATCTCTACCACCACGAATCCTCGATCGAAGCAAGGACCGGACTAAGTTCTATCTTCATAAACTTTATCGAAGAAAAACAAGAGAAACTATGATATCACCTGTCGCGCCACTCCACGTTCCTGATCGTTTGCGCCAAATCGGCAGTGTACAAGACTCTTGAAGTACTTGTGCAACAGACTCCAAACGTACAAATCTCAGTCATGTTTCATTAATGTATGTATCATGATGTTGTTCCAAGTTTGGTAATATGTACAAGAATTATTTTTAAGAATGCTAGTTTCCAGTATAACAAGGTATAACCTAACTTTAGAATCAACCACTGATCGGTTCAATCCTTACCACCACAAATCCCCGATCGAAGCAAGGACCGGACTAAGTTCTATCTTCATAAACTTTATCGAAGAAAAACAAGAAAAACTATGATATCACCTGACCACCCTCCCCCTCTACGCTCTGCAACTCGCGCCACTCTTCGATCGTCTGCGCCAGATCGACGGTGCACAGGGGCACCTTCACCTCCCCTATCTGGTCGTGCTTGGAGAACCGGTCGAAGTCGAAGATGGCGAACACCAGGGTCTTGTTCATGGCCTCCGAGTAGGGAAGACTCTGGAAAACAAAAGAAACACAGGACATAATTGATAGTTATTTGTTGTAGTAGTCAGGAAAGTACGAGATTCAATGCCGCGGCTGATGGCGTTTCATAGCCAAGGCTTGGCGCAACCAGCCAAGGCATTACATCTTCTTTTCTCCCATGTGAAACATAATTTTTTCTTCAAATTCCTGTCAAAATATTTTGCATTTATATGTTGAGAACGGGAGCAGATTCGGTCCCGAAACGTCCAAAGATAAGTAAAAATTCGATATTCTTTCAATACATATTTATATATTTTTCCTTCGAACATTTTTTCGAACAAACTGTCACTGACAAGCTATACTGCATTTTTCTTTTAGACTCCCTGATAGAAAAATTTGTTAAACGTATAGTGACATCATATGATTTGTCCCACTACAAATATATTGAAATAATACGAATATTTTTATTTTATAGAAACGAGGAGAGAAAATTCCAAACAATCAAGTAAAATGTAGAATACTTCCTCATTAAAAACGGATTTTATTCTATTGAAGAATTTATATCTTACAGGGGTTTGTAAAAGTTTCTTATCCCATATGTGTTGTAATATGTACAGGGTGGGCAAAATTGGGCGTTTTCGCCGTCTATCTCAATAACTAGAGGAGTTATCGAAAAACCGATATACATGTTCTGGGTTCGATTTTGGAGAAACCTCGAATGGCACAATCAAAATTTAGATATCTTCATTCGTTTTAGAGATACAGGAGGAAATTGAAAATTTGCCGATTTCGATTTTATTTTCTGACTACTTTACGGTGAGAGGTATCATAAAATTTCAAATATATATTTATACAGTATGATGCGTGGAATCCATTGGCATCATCAAACATTTTATACAGGGTGACGTTGAAAAGATACGGCAGCCAATTATGTTTTTTCTAATGGAACACCCCGTATATTTTGGCACAGTTGAATAGTCCCAGGCGTTCTCATTACAAATATATATATATAACCCTACCTTTTCCTTCCACAAGTTCAGATATAATCGCAAAAATATATTCAGTGTGTCACTTTTCTTATGGTTACACCCCCGTATCTTCTGTAAAAATAATTGAGGTAGGATTCAAAAATTCGCAACTGTCAGAAAGATACGAATGATACACTCATGGAGTCATGGACCAAGTGGGATCATCTCCAAAGGTGGAAAATGAATATCATAGGGAATGTTATTTCCAGACAAATGGATATTTGGTGAGAAATAAAATGGGAAATTATTCGATTTTTGATATCATTGTTATCAAGACATTCGAGATACAGAAATAAGACCAATAATTTACTCAATTAGGAAATCAGTAGGTTGCGTTGAAAAATGTAGCCTTATAGAAGATGTCCAAATTCCAGATACAGAAGATACGGGGGTTTAACCATAAGAAATGTGACACACTGAATATATCTGAAATTCTGGAAGGAAAAGGTAGGATTATATATATATTTGTAATGAGAACGCCTGGGACTATTCAACTGTGCCAAAATATACGGGGTGTTCTATTAGAAAAAACATAATTGGCTGCCGTATCTTTTCAACGTCACCCTGTATAACATTTCTGATGATGCCAATGGATTCCACGCATCATACTGTATGAATATACGTTCGAAATTTTATGATACCTCTCACCGTAAAGTAGTCAGAAAATAAAATCGAAATCGGCAAATTTTCAATTTCCCCTGTATATCTAAAACGAATGGAGATATCTAAATTTTGATTGTGCCATTCGAGGTTTCTCCAAAATCGAACCCGGAACATGTATATCAGTTTTTCGATAACTCCTCTAGTTATTGAGAAAGACGGTGAAAACGCCCAATTTTGCCCACCCTGTACATGTTATTTTTATTACTATTGCATATCATGTGTTAATTAGTATCATACCCAGCTTATCAAACTCACAATTTTTATAATTTTTATCTATACTACTATGTATTTTGCTTGGGCATCTGTGACCTACCATCTCTCGTACTATGTATTTTTATATGGCCAATGAAGACTACCACTACTACTACTACTACTACTACTACTACTACTCAATGAATATCATTTGTCAATAAAGCTACGAATTTTGGAATTCTTCCACCCCTGCAGTATGCTTAGAAGGGGTTGAAATATTCAACCCTCAGAGTATTTTTTCGTTCAACTTTTTTCTGACTGAAAATTCTCCCATCAAAAAAACGTGGCCAAGAAGCCTTCTTCCTTTCATATCTCTAGAAGTTTTCTCTAAAACTTGAGCATTTGCTGTTTTTAGAAAAATCTTTTTTGTCCAAAAAAGTTGTAATACAGAATATCTTTGGGGTTAAATATTTCAACTCCTTCTAAGCATACTTCAGGGATGAAAATATCACAATATGTGTAGTTTCGTTGACAAAATATTATTAATCAAGTTTTATGTCTTTAGCTCAATATACAGGGGTAATTGAGAAAAAAAAAACATTTTTATATTTTCAGGACGGTGTAGTCGTTTTTCCGGGGAGAGGTTTTTCAGAAATATTCATACTACACACCCATCTTATCAATTTTTATCATAGAATCACGCCTTGAATTTTTTCGCTGCTATTCAGATACACCCTGCTCAAATAATTAAAATTAATAATGATGTGCATGATTGAAAGATATTATTTCAAATGAGGCATCATTCGACCTTTCATTCAATTTTATTCATCATTTATCGGGGTTTCTCTCTGGCAGATCGCACTATGGGGTGGTGCACGGAATATCAATATCAATGAAGATCTTGCAAAAATTACAGCCTAGGGAACCAACAACCTAGTTGAATGCAACCACCAACACTCAAGCCATTATTTACTGGCCAAAGGAAGTATTTCCAAGAACGTGAGTATAACCTCCAGAAGTTCGAAAAAATTCCAATACCTACCTCCACTCCCTATGCTCCCTAGGTAAAGGCACGATGTACCTTGAACATTATGGAGATACCGTTTCGTGCGCTCCAGAAGTTTAAAAATATACCATTCTGACAAAACAACAGGAAGCGGTCCATTCACTTGATGTAGGTATATATTATCCGATGTGGCAACCCTGTGACTCAAATGGATTCCTTATGTTTGAATCAATACAATACAAGTTATACAAGAGGTTGCTGAATCAATATTACCTTCCTAGCTAAATGTTATCTTGAACACGTTATCTCTGCAATATTTCCGTGTACAGGTATGTTCATTGTACAGTGGCATAGACCAAGGGAACCTGATGGGAGCTGGTTTGCTTATTCCAATGAAATCATAGGCAAATAGACTTGCAATAGCAGAAATTAGAGCAAATAATTAATTATGATTGTGAAAAGATGGTTTATTTGTCATTGAATATCTATAAAAAATTATTTACGTAAGTTTCTGAGAATATAAAATTTTTTCAAAAGTTTCATTAAATTGGTTGTTCAGTACTTTAAGCATCTTGAACCAAAATCCTTGCCACTTCACTGCATCAGGATTATATAGTAGGTATTCAATAGGTAGGTATCTACTTGAATCGTCTCGCTTGTAGAATTATTAGTAAATGCAACTACATATTTATCGGAATACGTGATGAGAATCATGTGAATTGATAAAAAAAATCATCTTCGTTTTTTCTCTCAAATACAGGGTGGCCCACGGTCGATGGTACCTTAGACGTATACGGAAAACGGTATATTGGATTATCCTGAAAATTTGGTTACTCTAATAAGCGTTTGTGATCTAACGATTCAAAATATTTTCAGCGATGCAGCGTTGCCACTTTTACCAAAAAGTAGCATCATTGTATTTCATTGCGTTTTTAGATTCTTCTCGAAGAGCTGATTTCATCAATGTATCACACTTGGGGTCTAGCAGTAATTATTACAGAGATATAGGGTGTTCAAAATCGAGATTTTTCAATTTCAGGAATTTTTTGTGTCGAAACTATTCATTATCGATCAAAACGGCTCACATGTCCCCATCTTAACTTTTGATTCACTATCCACTGACATTTAATTGGAACAGTTACAGAGTGATCAAAATTCTGAATCTTGGACCATCCTGTATTTTTTCCAATTAAATGTCGGTAGATAGTTAATCAAAAGTCAATACAGGGACATAGTTGAAAAATCTCGATTTTTAACACCCTATATCTCTGTAATAATTCCTGCTAGACCCCAAGTGTGATGCATTGATGAAATCAGCTCTTTGAGAAGAATCTAAAAACGCATTGAAATACAGGGTGTTCCATTTGAAATAACAAAGATGATGCTACTTTTTGGTAAAAGTTGCATCACTAAAAATATCTTGAATCGTTAGATCACAAACGCTTATTAGAGTAACCAAATTTTCAGGATAATCCAATGTACCGTTTTCCGTATACGTCTAAGGTACCATCGACCGTGGGCCACCCTGTATACTTCTACTTCAACAAACATTAATATAGCCATCACGTTTCAAGCAATGCATTTCCCAATGTAAATTTCACTCGTATAATGATAATAACTAAAATAGAAATAGAGCTGAACTTTTTGTACTCAAGATCAAAATCTGATTTGTGTTAATCGTCCAGCAAGTGAAATATCTGTTTCTGTTGGTTGTTATGAGAACTTCACGTGGATTATTATGTGAAGTGTGCAAAACCCAATAATTTCTTTTCTTTGGCTATATGAAATGATTCATTCGTGGCAATACAACTGCAAAATAATACAGGATTCACCATTTGAAACGAAAGAGGCCAAACATCCGATAACTGGTTCATTCCTGAAACTACCGCTAAAACAATAAGCAACTAGGGGAGGCACCCTGCTAACATCGCTGCTAACACCTTCAGGAATCAACATGTAATCGGATATTTGGTCTTTTTCGCTTTGAATTTGAAATGGTTCAACACAGTAAATCAGCTGTTATGTTTCTAGAAACAGCAAGGACACCGATAAATGATGCCGCAGTAGGTACGCTATCAATTATTTAATTAATCAAAATATTATCAGGAGGTCATGGAAACCATCCATCCTTCTCAAAGTGGTCC